TACCTATTGCCATCTCTTTCATGTTTCATTACCACACAGCATTTTTTTTTTTTTTTGGTCTGCTTGTACTTCATGTCATCTAATTACTATATAAATTAGCTTAGAGTTGCTAAGAGTGCAGAGGCAATCCCAGCCTTTCCCCACGGGCATTAAGATGATGAGGAGTAAAACTTAATTTGTAAGCAAGGAGAGAGATGTGCCCACTACAAACCTGACCTTTTTGTCTTCTTCTTTTTGTCCTCCAACCCACAAACAGTGGAAAGAACAACAAAACTACTACAGCTCTGTACAGACACAGGGCACCTGACGCTCAGGATCAGCCCAATTACTTGCAAATAATTTAAAGTGATGATAACACAATTTTGTCCTGCTGTAATGCTCCTTCCACACTGCTATTAAGAACAGCATAGATTTAGCCAAAATGAAAGTACAAGAGGTCATGCCATTCCCACCTAAACCCAAGAGGAGTTACAACTGTGACACCTCCACTGGCAGTCACTCAAATATCTCGACATTTTGAAGAGTTCTTAATTTTATTTATAGATTCACAGGACAATTTAAGTGGGAAGGGACCATGGGAGGTCTCTAGTCCAGCCTCCTGCTCAAAACAGGGCCAGCTCTGAGGTCACAGCAGGTTGCTCAGGGATTGATCAGGTTGAATCTTACAGACCTCCAAGGATCAAAACTGCACAGCCTCTCTGAGCAACCTGCTCTCCACTTCTCTCTTTTACACGATTTACCACATTTAAATAAATTTGAAATTAACAAGACAAAACCAAACAAATACAAATACGATTCAGATTTTCACTTTCTGTCTTGCTTGACTGGAGGACCTCTGGTCCTTCTCCAATCTTAAAACTCTGAACTACACATAGGTGCACAGATGAGGACATTAAGAGCTTCCAGAAGGGTATTAATAATGCAATTCCAGGGGGAGAGGGAAAAATTCCATCCCAACGTCTGACAGCTTTTCCAGACACTACTAAGTAAATCCTTTTTAAAAGGCACTTTTATTAGAGGCAACATTTCCTTATTTAGTGTCTCAGTCTAACAAGAGTCTTGGCTTAAAATGCACATTTTCTACTATTTACACAGAACTATCAGGCTTTATCTAGAAAGTACCATGCACTGAAAAAAGTGCCAACTGCTAGTAAAGAAATACACTAGACTTCCACAACAGTACACTATGTTAACAAGATATTGTGGCTCAGAAATCCATTAGCTAAATCAGCAAAGGAGCCAAAGCAAATCAGAAATTAATACAACCAAATGTGGAGGAACTGGACTATCTCTGTTCTACACAGTGAAAGGAGCTATCCTTACTGTCTCTATTCCTGTCTTACTGGCCTTTTCAGAGATGATTGACCATGATTAACCCATCTTGCTAGCAGAATACCATCTTTTTAACTCTTATTTAAAATGTGCCCTGTGGGAAACCTTTTAAGAAGAAAAATACTTATGTTTATGAGAACCTTCTTAGAAGAAAAATGTTTGTAAGAATCTTCTTAGGAGAAAAATACTCATGTTTGTCAGAACCTTTTTTAGAAGAAGGTCCTCATGTAGTTGATTTCTACTACAGGAGAAAATAACACCTGCAAGGGACGAGAAAGAAAGCAATTGCACAGAATGTGAGTGAGATAAGGAGGAACTGAAGGTAAACAATCAGCATGATTAGGTAATGTTAAGGGTCCCATTCCCAGGAACAAAGTTAGCCAATAGTAACTTTGTCTTTAGGATTTTAAAATCCTTCATCCAATTAGTAATTGCCAAATCTGCATGAGTTCTGTATAAAAGTGTGTAATCGAGGCATAATAAATGGCTACAGCATGATCATATTGGTCTGCGTCTGAGTCCCTACCAGCGGCAGTGCCCAAGACCATCAAGCATGCAATAAAGACTATAATATCTCTGTAGTGCTGATGGCACCCAGTTCTACACTTTTGCTTCCTAAGCCATAGCCAATGATGTGCAGCCACGTGACTGAGATAAGACAGGAGTGATGCTGGCTGGAAAAAGGAAGTGACCAGAATATATAGAAAGTCTTCTGTATGTCCTCTAGTGAAGCAGAGCACACAACACCTACCAACTTGAATTCTCAACCTAGAGGTTTCTGGAGGAGTTGCATAAAGCTCCCCCAAAAGAGCACCTATACATGCAAAGACAACAGGACAGATCACAGAATCACAGAATGTTAGAGATTGGAAGGGACCTCGAAAGATCATCTAGTCCAATCCCCCTGCCAGAGCAGGAACACCTAGATCAGATCACACAGGAACGCATCCAGGCGGGCTTTGAATGTCTCCA